CATACAGAATACAATGCTGAGCTGTTTTTTGCACATATCCATATACAGTGGACCTCCGGTAATCCGACAAACATTATGCAGGGCAGTGTCGGACTATCGAATTTGTCGGATTATAGAGCACTGCCTAAGACCCCCTATAGTCCTGACTTTTTTACAAAATGGTAAGATTATATATGTTATGTATATGTATGTACTTTGAAGTACAAATCATACATAGTTTATGTATGTCGAATTTAGTAAATTAAATAACAATAGAGAGCTTACGTTTTATTATAAAATTAAGCATAAATGCACATACATATATACCAAAATAATCAAGAATTATTAATCAAAATCATTAATGAATTCATCAAATTATGAAGCTTGGAAATATTCATCAATTTTTTTGTTTAAGGTTGTTATAACGCGAGATCAGAGCTTTGTCCCTCAGTCTTCTCAAAAGTAACAGTTCGTTGTAGGGTGTACCTTTCTCTTCAGCTCATTGTAAACCTAGCTCAAAGGCGTTAATTGCGTCTTGTGCTGTGACTTGTGGAGCAGTTGCAATCACGTCGTCATTATTTTCCTGATTGTTTGTTGTATAATTAGAAACCTCTTTTATAATCTCTTCGTCAGACATTTTATGAAAAACATTTTCCTCTTTATCCATTCCACGGCACCAGATTTCCAAATCTTCCGGACTTATCTGTGTTTCAGTAGCGACTTGTTCTATAACTTCCGAAATAACACTGATTTGTGGAACGTTGCTAGGAGTGGTGACTATATCTGGCCATAACTTTTTCCAAGACGATTCAATAGTTGATGACGGTAATGCATTCCACTACTGACAAAGAGCAAAAACCAAGTCTTTCATATTAAATTCTTTTAAAGTTTTTTCTATTGGTTGGTCTTTTGATACGGCTCTCAGAAGTAGGTTTTTCTTATAGTCTTGCTTGACAAACTGAATGATATTCTGGTCCATTGGTTGAATCAGTGCAGTGTAATTTGACGGAAGAAACATCGCAGTGATGCATTTATCCTCAGTTGTTAGTTCTTCTTCAGATGGATGACCGGGAGCGTTATCAAGAAGCAACAACGCTTTTTAGGAAAATTATGATCTTTTAACCATTTTCTAACTTCAGGTACGGAGCACTCATTTCTTGAAAAGATCTTTTGTCATCCATGCACTTTTTTGTCCGTAATAGTGCACAGGTAGATCAATGTTTTTGAATGCCCGTGGTTTATTAGATTTCCCAATGACCATCATCTTAAGCGCGTGTGTGCCCGCAGCGTTAGCGCGTGGTAGTATGGTTACACGCTCTTTACTTACTTATCGTCCAGGTACGGATTTTTCGTTACAAGAAACGAAAGTTTTGTTAGGCATCACAGGCCAAAAAAGCCCTAATTCGTCTGCATTGTACACCTGTGACGGGTCAAGATTTAAATCGTTCACCTTTTGAAATAATCTTAATTTAAAGGGCTCTATGCAGGTGGCATCGTTAGAAAGTTTCTCTCCTGTAATAGTCATTAAACGTATGCCATGACGACTTTTAAAACGTTCTAACCATCCTTTGCTGGCCACAAAAATATATTTTTTTGTTATTTCTTTATAAAAAAACTTAGCTTTCATGGCCAACATGGGTCCTGAAATTGGTGCATGCCTATTTCTTTCCTGAAGAAACCACATGTACAAAGCTTCTTCCACTTCTGGATGTTCAGCTTTCTTGAGTGTCTGTCTCTTGCCTGGCCTGCAGTCAGTAGTTAACACGAACTTCTTGATTTTCTCGTGGTTTCTTTTAATGTGATAAATTGCAGATCGGCCTACGCCGTATTCACTTGCTAAACTACTGAAAGTTTCATTGCGATTTAAGCGGTCTAAAATATCACATTTTTCTTTAATTGTCAATGTTTTGTGCATTCGCTTCTGAGTTTGTGATGACATTACTAGGTACTATACTTAATACACAATGAATAAATAGTAAACAATGAACGCACGCTAGACCGTACCGCTATCCCCAGTAGTCAAATTCAAACTAAGTGTAACAATGCTTACGCGTCGAGCACAATAGCGGTGGCGCGTACAAGTTGTAACCTGTTCAAACCTGCAGTAATCTACATTAGCGAAGATTGTCAAATACGTATGTATGTAATACATATTCAACAGAGTCAACCTACTTGACTCCATTTTTTACCACACATGTGAATATGATACCTATTGGAAATTTAAATTTTCAATCCGACCCGTCTGTATCTGCCTGCAAGCTTCCCGAACGAGAGATCCTCTTGAATTTCTCCAAGCATATCTCCTTTAGGACCCAATCGGCGCGCGCTGTTGCCAGATCCGCTAGTCAATGTCTCGCTGTTCCGTTTTTCCTGAAATATCGCCGTACGGGCGCCACGCCAAAGCACCGGGATGTCAAGTCGTTCGTAATTTCAGATCTTGCGACAACTGGACAGGCAGGAAAAGTTATGTCTAGACAAATTATGATTGTATAACTTGACAGACGGTATATTGTTTAATCTACTTGACCGATTGAACCTGACTTTGCTCAAGTTTAATCATAAATTGTCTCCAGAAGTGTTTAGGAGTGTGCCCAGAGACCAGTGAGAAGGGATGAAGGGCAGGTAGCTTTCAGACATTCAAGTAACTTATCTGGTAAGCCAAGGTTGACGAGTTTACACTTTGGGATTTCTCTACCACGACCATCAACACATTTTCTTGCACTGCAGATCCACTGCTATTGGATCAGCGGTTACTGACAGCATGTCGCGCGAAAAGAAGATTGTAATTTAAGTGCCCATCAAGTATCTTTCGTCTATGCGCAAAAAAAGATCTAGAAATAAATGTATAGGGTAACTGGAAATTAGAACCTATTTCTTGAAAAGGGTTATACTAAAGACCATTAAATTCGTGTCAAAAATAAGTAGTTTCCGACTTATCGGTGTTTTAAGATTTTTTTGTAATTTCACCGAAAAAAGTTGACAAAAGGGATTACCTGGGCACTCAATTTATGCTGTTCTGAAAGACAATACACTACTAATAAGTTGCCGATATTCTTAATATTGCAGAAATTAATATCAAATCTGTAACTTTATTTTTCTGTACTTGTTTTCTTAACTGACCTGATCCATTCAATTCTTTGTTATGATGTTCACTTTGTGCTGAATATAATACTTCATAAACTTAAGACGACAATGCAGAGCCAACCCACTTGAAACCATTTTCTTTCAGTTTCAAAAAAATCGTTGCTTTCCCTGACCTCACAGACATCGATCCCAACAGAGCAACACAGACTAATGGACATGAGGCTACGGGGGCAGATTTGTGAATATTCAGAAAACAGATTACATGCCGGAGTGTCAAGAAAGTCGCCACTACAAATTTTGGCGTCGTAACCTCAGGATTCCGCAAACAATTTCCACACGGCTGGCTGCGCAAAATGCCATTTATCCACGGAAAACATCTAATAGAAATTCCGGGGAAGGGCTTTCATTAAATTTTTAATTACGCGTGAAAGTGATGTAACAAGACGATGAGGGGAAGGGACACACCCTTTGCCTTTTGCTTCAACGGATAACATACGGGTAACCAAATCGCGCTCCCTTTGTTAGAATTTGTGTATTTGATCAACTATTAACTGTGTGCGTTTTTACGAATAATTTCATCTAGCACGTCTCGCAAATAAATTGCTTTTGACCGGCGGTGCGTTTCGTTTAATTCAGAAGCATCACTAAACAGCTGTTATTGTCAATATCTGGACTGAAGAAAAGCCCGTACCAATAAGATGAGAGAAATATGAGAAATGCGTAACTCCAAATTTTTTGAATTCCAAAAATATTTCTGGCCACGCCCTAAAATGATAAACTGAAAACAAAAATTCTGACTCCTCCAAAAAATTGTTTCATGTCGATCAAAAAATGTCAGAAACTTGAAAAACATCGGAAAACGAAGTTTGAGAGGGTCTTTAAATCTGTCTGCGCTCTAAAATGATCAGAAAGCTGTAAAACGATGAAAAGGTTATTTCTAAAAGAGTTCAACTCCCCCCCCCCCTAACTACTGGACATCTTCCAAAAATTATCAAAAACTCGAGAAGCAACGGAGAACGAACTTTCTAGACTGACACTAGATCGATTTTCAAAACCGAGAAATATTTTTATTCGTCTTCAGCTTAGTAGTTTGCTTGCAACAAGATTTCATCAAAATCCGAGCAGTACATTACAAATTATAGAGGAGTCAAATATTACCGGAAGTATTATTGCGAAAAATTTCGAAAATGGTATATCTTTTTTTAATATTATTTTACATTGTACATCAGGAAAAGCCATGACATTAACTTTCGTTGATTTGTCGGTCTGTCTATCCTGTACTATCCATGACCCGTTTACAAGTAGAAAAGAAAAACGAAAAAATAGAAATCAAACATCGTTTCTAACGGATCCTGATTTGGAAGATTTTTAGGGGTAAAAAATCAAAGGGTGGGGGTTATAGGAGGGGAGAGGGAGGGTCTATCGGAATTTCTTGACGTTAGTACATTAATATACTCCAAACCCCGGTATTTCTATGCACCTATTAGACATACATTTCCCCTCAAAAATATTTCCAGGAGACGAATCGCGTACCTATCGGTCGCACTTGGGGTGCACCACTCGGTTGTAAACATTGCATCTTAGGAGTCCTATCCGAGTGACACATAAAAGCAGGTAGCAGAGGGCGTGGTGACGCTATATCCACATACGAGGTGGACGCGATATCGTCTTAGAGTGTAATTTAATGAGGTTACTTGATTTCGTAATTTAATATTATGTAGTACAGGATATAAGTACGTATCAAGAGGTATAATCGTCAGTTATCAAACATTGGTGACAAGCAGTCTTACACTAGAGTTCCAAAGAAATGTGGCTACTATGTACGGACACTGCTTTCAATCTGAGAATGTTTGTTCATGAAAAGCCCAAATACGAGGGATGTCTTTTAAGTTTTGCATATGGAAATAAAACAACACGGTAGGTAGTTTTAAATGACTTTATTGTTTTTCGAAGTATTCTCCACGAAGATTAATACACATCTGCATGTGCTCGAACCAATTTTCGAAGCACTTATTCCGCTCGTTTGCAGACAGATCACGTCATTTTTGAATGCGTCAATTGCTTCTTCTAACTGGAACCTTTGACCACGAATTCTGTTTTTAATTTTCGGGAAAGTAAAGAAATCGTTAGGACTTAGATCGGGAGTATATGGAGGATGGTCCAATAATTCCACGGTTTCTTCCGTTAAATACTGCCTTGTTTTTTGGGCTGTGTGCGAGCTTGCATTGTCTTGGTGGAGGATGATTCTTCTTTCGGGGTTGATTTTTCGAAGCTCGGTGATGACTTTTGGCAAACAAATGGTGGTATACCAATCCGCCGTAACAGTTCTTTGCTCATTAAGAGGAATTGTTGCAATATGACCCGCTTTTGACACAAATGTCGCTACCATCTTTTTTGGAACACTTCGAGAACGGATCACTTTTGATGGCTTTTCTTCACTTCTTCACCCAAACAGCCGACTGTCGTTTATTCTCTGGTTCATAACAGTAAATCCACGATTCATCACCACTAACAATGGTGTTCACATTTTTTGAGTTTCCTGAAGTGAAACGGTCAAGCGTTTTTTGACATGAGTTGCTCTAGACGTAGAAAAAATCAGGAGACTTGAGGTTTGTTGTGCCCTCTCTCTTCTGCGAACTCATTAGCTACTTTCCTTAACTCGGTTAGTCCAAACAACATACTTTCCCGCAACTTGATATGTTCAACAAGTTCGTTTTCCATTTCTCTTGAAACAGTTGTAGAAAAATGTCCAGGGCCTTTTTCAACACCTCTTACTTTTTTTTATTCTGAGCTCCCCTTCTTAACGTAGCTTGTGGAACATTAAATTGTTTGGAAGCTGATATTACCGCTCTGTACTGCCTCGATAGCTAATCTCATAGAATCTTCACTCCAGGATTGCCTATTGCTCTTCCTTTTGTATTTTCCCACCATATTGAAATAAAGAAGAAAAACCTAAAAATTTGGGACACTGGTTTGTTGTGACGACAAATTAGTTAACAAAATTAGGATCGCCCTGATAATATATACAATGAAAGAAACTAAGTATATACCTAGATACAAATTACTGGGATAAAATGGCATACCTATGTCGTTTTATAATGAGTGCTAATATGTCACTTTAAACGACAAACATACTAAGTGACATATAAATCCGAACACCCAGTTTAAATGGTTTTATTTCAATAAAAGTTGGTGAATGTATTTATCTTACTGTAAATAACAAGTGAAAAAATTTTCAGCCTTATCAGTTGGACATTCCGGTTTTTATACTGCTTTTTTTCAATTCACTAACGCTCTAAAAATGAATATTTCAGCCGCAGTGAAGAATCAACGTTGTCGGATTTTGGTTCTTGACATCCTTTACGATCGGTTACGATGCCCAGAGTACGGAGACCTGTACGATTTCGTCAACTTAGTGAGTTTGATAGGGGCCGTATAGTGGCACTTCGGGAAGCTGGACTTTCTTTTCGGGCAATTGCAGTTAGAGTGCAAAGAAGTGTAGACACTGTGGTTAGGTGTTGTCAGGCATGGCTTCGAGAAGGCCGTACGCAAAGAGCAAGGGGCACTGGACGCCGCCGTAGAACAATATACCGTGAAGATCGCCGCCTAAGATTATTAGCCTTAAGGGACCGTTTCTCCACTACCAGGTCCATTGCAAATGAATGGTTTGCAGAACACGGAAGACCTATTGGCATGTGAAGTGTTTACCGACGAATGAGAAGTTTTGGCTTGTTTTCATACCGGCCACACTGGGTCCTCCCTTTAACTCGAGAACACCGACGTAATCGCCTTGAGTGGTGCAGACAACGGTCACTCTGGGATCATGAATGGAATAGTATTGTCTTTAGTGACGAGTCTCGATTTTGTTTATGCATGCACGATGGTCGTGCCAGGGTTAGAAGGCGACGTGGTGAAAGGAGGAATCCACAGTTTTTTGTTGAAAGACATGTTCATCACACTGTTGGAGTTATGGTTTGGAGTGCTATAGCTTATGATTCCAGGTCACCCATCTTTTACTCTACCTTGACACCCTAGCAGATCCAACTTTCCAACAAGATAATGCCCGACCACATGTTGCAAGAGTCACAATAGACTTCTTTCAACATAATGATGTCACATTGTTACCATGGCCACCAAGATCTCCCGACTTATCCCCAATTGAGCACGTGTGGGATATGATGGGTAGGAGATTGCTCAATTTGCAACGTCCTCCTCAGACTCTAGAAGCACTTCGAGAGGAGTTGGTGGTTGCCTGGAATGAGATACCACAGGAGAACAATGACCTGATCAGAAGCATGCCTAGACGCGTTGGAGAATGCGTAGCACATCAGGGTGCATCCGCACATTATTAAAGGTCAAAGGGCTTTAAAGCAGTGCAATCATTTTGAAATTTTTATCATTTACTTATTATGCTTCACTAAGTACTTATACAAAATTTTATTAAAATAAAACCACTTAAACTGGGTGTTCGGATTTATATGTCACTTAGTATAGTTCCACCAAAAAAACGTGGTTTTGATTTAATTTTCAACACTTATATTATAGGTGGCTTAAAAAACGTAAGCAGTGGAAATGCACAAACACAAATCTCAGATGTAACTAAGCAAATACGCACATGACATTAGGTTAATGAGCTGCAAGTTACCCCATTGTGTCATAGATGGTGCCAGTAGTCTGTAAAGGGGCGTTCAATAATGAAATGCCGCCTATGTCATTTTATCAGACTCTGTCATTTTAGGACAGTCTCCCCTATTTCGAAAATGAGTTAGGTTTCGTTTTATGACATGTATATTCGTCCGTCTGTCTACCAATCCTGAACACAACTATAGCTTGGGAATTTCTATTTCATTGGCTACAGCCGAAACGGCTCGATGGATCCCAACATTGGAGGTGTCCTTAGATTCTCTGGATAGCACAAATAAAAATTAATTCTTCGCAGTCGGGCTTTTGGTACAGTCTGTACCTCGAGAAACAAATTTGATCCGCTCGTCTCGGGAGTTTTCCCAGCATCTCACGGGATTAATCTGGACGCGACAACCTCGCTAGCAGCACGTACGTCGCTCTGCCGTCGTGCTTCGAATCCTCCTGCCTCCGCAAACCAACGGCGGGCAAGGCAGGCCTAGACTGAAATTTCAAAAGCAACTTGTCAAGTGTCAGACGGGCGATGGGGACCTGCCGGTATGGGCCGGGGGGCATTTGGGACGGGCATGATGAAAAAGGAACGAGAGAGGGGGCAGGGAGCGAAATTCAGGTAGATCGCCGCCGTGGATGCAGCGGGGCCCAGGTAGATACGGCGGAAAATTTGTTAACAATACCATCCCTTACATGAAATATGAAAGTGATGTGTGAGGGATTGAACGTCGGCGGATTAGACAAAACGGACAATTTCAAGAGACTACACTACTGGAACAAAATAAGGGATCAAGTAAATTTCTTTTGACTCAGATGGATACATAGATAGACATTTATTTCCAACAGGTACATGTGCACCCAATAACAGGAACTGCGTAAAATCAAATGAACATTTCGTTTTACGTAAAAGAAAAAATATAACTAATGTTATAATGGGTGATTTTTTTGCTAGTATCTTTTTGGCAACACTGTTTTTGACAGATGCGCGTGAATCGTGTCTTGTGTCATTGTCGAACTTGTTCTGTTTGGTCTATAATTTAACCATGAATCGACTTATGAACGAACAACGCTTGCAAATTATTGAATTTTACTATCAAAATTCATGCTCGGTTAAGAGAGTGCATCGAGCACTGCTTCCGATTTATGGGCAATTTGGTCGGCCTACTGAGGGAGCTATTCGGAAGCTTGTGACTAAAGTTCGAACCCAGTTTACATTATTTAACATTAAACCACCAACACGCAGACGTGGAGTGAGGACTGAAGAAAATATTGCGGCTGTATCCGCCAGTGTTAGTGATGACCGTGAAATGTCGATTCGCCGCCGTTCGCAGCAATTGGGCCTCTTTTACTCCACTACGTGGAAAGTTTTGCGACAGGATTTGGGTGTAAAACCTTATAAGATACAGCTGCTGCAAGAATTGAAGCCACACGACCTCCCACAACGTTTCCAATTTGGTGAATGGGCGCTGGCAAAGTTGGAGGAAGATCCACATGTTTGTCGAAAAATTGTGTTCAGCGACGAAGCTCATTTCTGGTTGAATGGGTACGTTAACAAGCAAAATTGCCGCATTTGGAGTGAAGACCAGCCAGAAGCATTGCAAGAGCTACCAATGCATCCCGAAAAAATCACTGTTTGGTGTGGATTATGGGCCGGTGGCATCATCGGGCCGTACTTCTTCAAAGACGACAATGGCTGGAACGTAACTGTGAATGGCGAGCGCTACCGTGCGATGATAACAAACTTTTTTTTGCCCAAAATGGAAGAGCTGGACTTGGCTGACATGTGGTTTCAACAAGACGGTGCCACATGCCACACCGCACACGAAACAATGGCCCTATAGAGAGGCGAGTTCGGTGAACAGTTTATCTCACGTTTGGAGCCCGTCAATTGGCCGCCTAGATCGTGTGATTTAAAGCCGTTGGACTATTTCTCGTGGGGCCATGTCAAGGCTAATGTCTACAGGGATAAACCAGCAACGATTGACGCACTGGAAGTCAATATTGAAGCATTTATTCGTGAGATACCGGCCGATATGTTGGAGAGAGTGTGCCAAAATTGGACCTTGCGCATGGGCCATCTAAAGCGGAGCCGCGGCCAACATTTACATGAAATAATCTTTAAACATTAAATTATATCGACCGTTCTATCGACTCAAATAAAGATTTAATCGTTTTTTCAAATTTTTTGTGTTTTTTTTTAAAAATCAAATCCTATACCTCTTAAAAAATCACCCGTTTTAAAAATCAACACTTGAATAATATAAAAAAGATATTTCGAAAAAGTTACATATTAAATGTGATCTGCAAAATATAACTATAAACTAGGGAGATAGGGGAAAAATTGATATCACAGCTGTTACAAATCAAATTAAAGTTGTTACACATTACACTGGACAACAAATTTTAGTTTTTTAATTGTATCTTGTGGGAAAAGTTCACTTCTTTGTTAATTTTGGGGCGCTGAATCCAAAAATGACAGTGAAATAAAAAAATTAGTTGCGGTTTAGAAAAAAAACTTTTTATTTTTAAGGTTATATTAAAAAAGTAATAAGATTCATATACTTATAAGAATCACTATATTCGCTGTCTTTTTGCTGTTCTTTTATGGATCGTTTCTGGAGCATCTCTACCAAGAGTCCAACAGTAGTCTGCAAGCATGGAAGGATTCCACTTTCCCTGGTACCTTTTTTCCATTGTTGAAATATCCTGATGAAAACGTTCGCCGTGCTTATCACTTACGGCTCCGCAATTGTCAGGAAAAAAGTCCAGGTGTGAGTGTAAGAAATGTATCTTAAGAGACTTATTATAGCCCATCTTTCGATACGATGACAGCATATTTTTGACAAGGGTTTTATAGTTGTCAGCTTTTCTATTTCCCAAGAAATTAGTGACCACCAGACGGAAATCACTCCAAGCAGTTTTTTCAATACCTGTTAAAGTGTTTTCAAACTGTGTATCTTTCAAAATATTTCGAATCTGTGGCCCAACAAAAATACCTTCTTTAACCTTT